AGTAAATTAATTAACTACTTGTTTGCAGATTTCAATTGATATAGAGGAAGAACATTCCTTAGTATCCGAAATTATAATTAAACTAATTAAAACTAGGTTAAAGTCCGATTTACTATTGTTCAAAATAACGTTCTTTTGACTCTGTCACATGAAACAGGTGCATAAAATGATAATTATGATGACAATTATTGAAATGACAATAGCATTCCAGTAATATCAGTTATAATGTGTCCCAATTTTTCTTTTATTCACATACATACTTATTTAATTAATAACTTGCTAAATGTGAAAGACAACGATCAAAATTAAAAAATTTAGGTAAACATTATACAAACATTTTTTGGTTCCTGTGTCCTGGCTAGTCGTCAGATAATTTCTGTCAAAATTTGTAACCCAACCATGTAACCCACAAATCAACCCCAGTGACTGACCAGCTACAGTGTTGAACAAAATATTTAATATTAAATTTTTTTTGTCAAATAAATAGGTTAAAAATAGGTTACTACTAAACCAAATACACAAAGTATGTTGTATATTTTTTAGAATGATGAAGAAATTGAAAACGTGTGTGYATACTGTGTGCAGCTATAAAGCACATGGGGGCTGGCAGAGCATGAGAGAAGCGTTAGGAGAAGCACGACGCGTAGCTGAGTGCTTCTCAACACTTCTCGAGTGTTCTGCCAATCCCCAAGTGCTTTATAACTCCACACAGCACAGCAAGCAAGTTTTTTATTTCTTTTATAAAATACAAATACAATAACTGTTATTTTAGATAAGAATGATGCAACTAAAAGTAYGCACCCATGCTGTGTKCTCTCAAAAAGCACGCACTCACAACCAATCAGAACGTGCAATTTACAATAGTTATTTCATAACTTTATTTACAATATTTTGAAAGGATGCTTTTTCACTATAGTGATTTTTTGAAAAAGTTCCGATACCTTTATATCACAGGGTTTGTGCTACTCCTTAAACTCCTTGAAAACTCCTTGAATTTTTGCTTTGATCATTACTTGCATGGTTCTAAAATAGATCTAGTCAGAAAGATTGGAAAATCTGAAAGTCGGCCATGTGCAACCACCATGTAAAACCTTGGCATAGTTAGCTGAACATACTCCTTGAAAATTCATTTTTGGGTCCTTGAATTTTAAGTGTTTACCTCAGCAYGAACCCTGATATCAGGTTGTTTTGTACAATTACCTGAAACCCAGAATTCTTATTTTGTTTATTAGCTGTCTTATTATTAATAAATAAATGAATAATGCTACTCCTATACATGGAAAAACATTTACTCCAAAGGTAAAGAGGTATTTTATATCAAGGTTTTGCACCATAGCGCCCAAAATACAGCTTGGGCTGCCAATAAAATAACAATAAAATCCCTTTGCTCTTGGGAATTGAATTTCTTTCTCATGTAGAACGGTTGTATTGTTCCTGCCATCTAACATGGCTGCCGTCACGTGATGGAGCAAAACCTCTAGTGAGTATGTGTTGGTGCTATAAGACTGTTAAAATTGCATTGCCATGGATGCTCCTTCTCAAGTCTTGCCAGTAAACAAAGAAGTAACACACAAGGTCAATGGCCAACACAGGGTGCTGCCACTAGGAAACATGGTACATGCTGGTGTAGATTGGATACAAACATCTTCAAGTTTATCTTGCCTTTCATGATGTAGCTCACACTTCCTCCTCATCTCCACTCAATCTCTCTGTCCTAACCTCTCTCTGCCACTATACAGGCTATATACACTGGAGTTTGTACCCAAGCTAGACCAGAATGCACCTTGTTTGTTAAACTTATAAAAGACCCAAGGTACATACATGTGCTAAAATGCAAAAACAATACACACAAGCTGGAAGTTCTAATTATGATTTTTTATCCCAGGATCCCGTTGCTTTCTGCTTTGCAACAGCAGCATTTGTTTTGGCATATCGCTCCTCAGATCCCTCGATTGCACCCAGCTTTCCTGTGTAGTAATCCGAAAAGGCTTCTTCAATTTCTTCCCAGGTGTTCATTACAAATGGGCCTCGCTGAGCGACAGGCTCCTTTAGAGGAACACCTGCAATCAGCAGGACATGGATGTCTTTGTTGGAGTTTGCCTTGATTTTAAACGACGTTCCTGGACCCAAAAGAGCTACCTAAATCAACCAAGAAAAATAATTGATTGTTTATAACCTTTTGCTCTCTTAGGGAAAGTATGTTTTTAGTTTGGGGGGGAGGGTTCAGAGTTTGTTCACGGCCCTGCCTTGTTTAGGAGGGTCTTGAATTTCTTACTGGGTGAAAGGGGAAGGCTACAACCATCTTTTAAAATTTTACTGCAAATTCCCCAGCCCTCCCCCCCCAAAAATGTACCTTCCCTTAATTATTATAAAAGAAGTGTCTGTCTGTCTGTCTGTTTCTTTTTCTCTCTTTCTCTCTCTCTCAAAAAACATGCTGAAACATGTCTAATTTGTTGTGGTCACCATAGCTGACATCTTTTTAATAAAACCGAAAGCGAGAAGTAACAATACATCGTCATACCTGGCCCATAGTGGCTTGTATTTTTGTATCACCAAGTTTTCCAGCTCCCCGCCAAACGTACGCAAACCCGTTGTAATTGTCTGGAACCTCTTGGTTAAATTCTTGACCCTGTTCTACATGAATATCCAGGTACAACATAGGAGATCTGGTCTCTATTACGGCTTTAGTTCCAAGGCTTTGTCCTGCTATGACCTTAACTGTTGTCTTACCATCTGCAGGTGACAGAAACATTTGAAATTCACAGCTACTGCCATATGACGTGATAGGCATAATTTACTGTAGCATGGTCCAAGGGGGTTCTCTTGCCAGTTTAGGGTAGGGATGTGCTGCTGAGCCCTCTGAACCCTGACCCTGTTCCAGAGTAAAATCACTGAAATTTATACCCTGTTCCAGAGCAAGATCGCTGAAAACCATACCCTGTTCCGGTATTGCGAAAATAAATACCCTGTTCCAGAGAGGAGAGGGCGTGATTTCATATACCCTGTTCCAGAGTGAGCACGATTTTATATACCCTGTTCCAGAGTAGAATTGCTGAAAACCATACCCTGTTTGGCGGCACGTACCTGTATAGCCAATATAGGGGAGTACCCCCCCCCCCCCTGGAGCATGGTGTAGCATAGTGTAGTGTAGTGATGTGTGGCATGCTTCTACGGTATGGTATGGTGTGTTATACTATGGTGTGGTGTGTTATACTGACTGTGGTGTAGTGTACAGTATTATATTGTTGTGTAGTGTGGCATAGTGTAGATGTGGTGTAATGTAGTGACTAGTGTGATGTAGTGCGGTATGGTGTGTGATATGGTGGTGGTATGGTATTCTAGTGTAGTGTAATGTGGTGTGGTGTGGTATGGTGTAGGACAGTGTAGTGATGTATGGTATTCAATTGCCCTTATACTATGACATCACTGCTTGTTTATGTGGGGGATAGAATCGCCAAATCCAATAGAAAATTCAACAAAATTTGCTCCTAGTGAAACAGTTTAATTTAAAATGGCCTGGTTTTCAGATATAATATGTGTTAATATGTACTAAAAAATATTCTGAGCGTTTGCTGGCTATTCTACTTCTCTTCGTGGATTGATACTGGTTTTAGAACAATTTTCGGTGAAATTGCGTTGATTTGACCCCCTCCAACGACCATGACCATTTGCGTTTAAACAATAGATTGTTTTGATGTGAYGTCATAGTGAAATAGGGCAATTGCACAAGAGCTAAATTTCTCACACATAAACTCAAGCTACTCACCAGGACTTTTAACAACTGGTATTTTCTCAGCCGGTGTATCCTGATATCTAGGCTTGATCATCTTATCCTTCGCTGGTAGGTTCACCCACAGTTGGAATCCTTCCATAGGACCGCCCTTCTTCAAGAACTCTTCCGTTGGCATCTCTGAGTGAACCACGCCTGAACCGGCAGTCATCCATTGGACCCAGCCATCTTTGAGGACCCCACTATTACCAGCACTATCTTGGTGCTTTGTCTCACCTAAGAAATACACATAATTTTAGTAGGAAGTTAATAGCGTGCTAACAATTAATGCGTGAAACACTAATTACTAAATAGTACAAAATTGTGCTAATTAAACAATAGAAAACAATGGAATTTGCATGAAATTGTGCTATTTAGTATTACTAAAGTTTCACGGTTATATTGTTTGCACTCTAACGGAAAAAATGGAAATGGAAAGGACAAATGGGGATATTTCTCCAAATGTTCCTGCTTGCTGGGGATTCCATGCTGTTGTCCTATCCATATCTGTGCAATGCTGAGTGTTGTGCTGTGTTGTCAGTATACTATGGAAAGAATCTTTAAATATAAACTGTGCAAGAAATAAACTAAAAGCTAAGTTCAAAAACGTAAATTTAAACTTGTATATATATCGAGTTGACAAAAAAATAACGCAGCAAGACATTTAACTGCAATTCCCAAATTTATCGATTTTAAACGTAATTGTATCATCACTACTCTATAATCCCATGTAAGCAACTATCGCATTATTTTCAAATTCTCTTTCCTGTCCAAATTAAAGATTTAATTTGGATCGTTTCCATTCGCATTCTTTCGAGGGAAAACTATGACTTATGGAATCAGTCTAGTATAGTTTGGGATGATATAATTAATCTGCAATAGGACTACATGTCTGTCCAATTTGGAAATAATTGAATCCAAAAAATTCCTCTGACTGCCAAATTGGACTCGGCCTATCGACCTCTTCCAATTTTGTCAGTCCTCGGAATTTTTTGATCCAATTTATTTTCAAATTGGACAGCATGTAGTCTATTACCTATACTAAAAAGCAACTTCTTACCATTTATAATATAAGTAACAGTCTCAAACCCTCGATGGGGATGATCTGGAGCACCTACAGCCTCACCAGGCCCATAAGTCACAGGTCCTAAATGATCCAACATCAAGAATGGATCGCAGTTCCTTATTGTATCACCGATTGGTCGACGAACAAGAAATCCGCCTCCTTCTCGCATTTGCCTTGAGCTTTCTAGCCTTGATACAGACCTCGGTTTCGCCATTGTAGAAGTAAATTAATCCTTAAATTTTTYTACGATAGATTAGTTTGTCGAACTGGCTGGAAGTTTATAAACAAACCTTGACCCATGAGACAACGCGAGCCCGGCGGAAGTGACACAGCAGTCCTAAAAATAGTCGGTGTTGAGTCAAGAGGGGTGGGGTGGGTTCGCTGTCGAACTGTATTGAAGAAATATGACAAATATGGACGATCAAATAATCTAATGATATGCATTGGGTGACTAATGTGAGTAAGCAATTTCTTTTCCTGAATCAAAARTAGATATGAGAAATAATGCTGAGATATAGTTAATCAGCATTTTTAAGATGAACATCTGTCGAATGCAACTTAATGCAATATATTTTTCGCATTAACATCATGCCATTTTAAGCTTTAGGAAATTCACAGAAGAAAATAGTTTTTAGCTAAATATGTGGGCCCTCTTCCCCTGTGCCTGAAGGCCAGCGACTAACAATCTATGGCCATTGTTGAACTCATTTCATTATCAAGTCTATTTTTTTTCAAAGTCAAACCCAGGGGAAAACCCTCAAAGGAAATGAGAGCCAACGAGCAACTTTACTCAAATGATGGCAATACTACAGTAATCAAACCAAGCTCATATGGTGAGAATTAATGACGTATTAGTTGTTCCAAGACATATTTCAAAGAAGGCATCTATTTTGTCCCCTAAACAGTCCAACAATGCAAAGCAATAGTATAGGGTTAGCAAAGCRGTGCTTTGTAAAGGGGTACTGAGAAGTGGGAAGGTGAGGGGGACTAAAAGCCCAGGCTACTAGAGTGCAAACAATATAACCGTGAAACTTTAGTAATACTAAATAGCATAATTTCATGCAAATTCCATTGTTTTCTATTGTTTAATTAGCACTATTTTGTACTATTTAGTAATTAGTGTTTCATGGATTGTTTGCACTCTAATTGCAACAAGCGATACTAGATGAAACCCCTTAAAAAATTACCTTGATTTTTTCTCCCCAAAATATGTAGTTATTGAGACAAATTTATCTTATAAACTTAAAAACATTTCAATCATGGTTTCCATTTTATTGAGCAAACAATTAACATTATAACAAAGTAATTAGAAATTAAGTTTCGTAACATACCGTGTAAATGTGAAAATAAAATAAATGATTGCATATAATCTATATAGTAGAAAAATAGTTTTCCTGGATTTCTGCTTACATATGTACAATACTGTCCGCAAGAGTAAAATAATTACACCGTCTTAATCTGTAAAAAAGCCTCCCTCTTTCTAAAGCTGTAGAGTGAAACAGTAGAGTGCATACCATAGTGAAAAACTTATGTAAGAAATTGCACAAATTAGTAGAGCTCAGCAGACCGTAGACCTTCAAAACTTTGCATTTGTACAATTTTCTTAGTCAACTTTTCTTTATGGATATATGGTATGCACTCTATTAGATTTATTTTACACTAAATAGTACGAAGTTTATAGGGCTTTTAATACTCCAGTTTAGAGTTTTCTTTGCTCTGCGTTAGTCTCAGTTGTGCATTATAATATTCAGCTATACAACCAAAAAACATGGCACATTAATCAACTCAAACTGTTTCATAGTTCGTACGTCTTACTATACAATCTACCTTAATAAGAAAAAATTATTATCTTTAAATCAAAGCCAAGACTGAGCAAAGGTGAACTCGAAATGGGAGTATTGCGATGTCAATCGTATGGAAAAGCAACTTCTGGTTAAAAAAATGCAGTTCTATAAGGATTTTTCTTGCTTTATTCATTGTCCAATGTTTCAGGTGGAGATAAAATCATTGGTAAAATTTTTCATTTTTCAAGTGGATTTTCTGAGCAATTGAACCTGGAAATATTTAAAAGCTCTATGGTTTCATCAGTGCTATTAAGCAATAATCAGCACTAATTATAAAATGCTTGCACTTTAACATTAGGGTTAATCATTTAGGTTTTAGTAATTAGCATTCACAAGAGAATGAAATGACAAAAGACATGGCAGCCATGTTGGATGATAGAAGTAGTTTGTAAACATTC